TTCCAACATAAGAAAACATTTCTGGAATCTGCATTTGAAATTGAATTTAATGTTTTTACACAGTTTAATATAAGTCTATTTCAGAGGGGACATAGATGCATTTAACCTGCAGTCACAGATGAATATTTAATGTTTTGTTTTTAACATAAAATGCTGAATACTGTTATTTGAAATTATTTTAAAACGTAAAAAAAATAGTTGAAATGTGAAATTAAAACCGCCAGTAGGTGGCAGCAAGTGACTGTTAATGAGTGAGTGATTGAGATTCAACTGATTCATTCAAACGACTGATTCATTCAGAAACAAAGCATTTGACTGTCCCTACGTCTCAATGTTCATATTATCCATCCTAAATAGTATGTGAGATTAGAATAAGTGTGTCCCAAAGCATAGTATGTTGAAAAGAGTATGCCAAAAGTCCCCAGATGGTCTACTATTTCAGGTCGATTTTTGTAGTGTGGATCCGTGCACACTCTAATAGCTAAAATTGCCCACAATCCATTGAGCTTTGGCGAAGGTTCGGTCCAGAACTACAAACACGAATAAAACGCGTTAGAAAAACTACAAACGTGGCGGATGCACGCGATCGACGGTTAGGTAGAGAGGTTTACAAAAAGGGGTTTGAGTTACTAATAATCAACATTTAACCTGGTAAAAAATATTTATTTATTGTTATCCATGTTATATTTCATCTGCAACAGTAATGTGAACTTTTATAAACATCCATTTGGTCGTGAATTTTTAAACGCATCATTATGCAGAAAATATGAGCAGAGTTCTCCACATGAAAGACACACGACTGGCAGATCAACGAGCTACTTATTTTCTCTCCAGTACCGTAGGAAGTTAAATTAAATTAAATGTGGAGGATGTTAACTGTGACAAGATGATTGACAGGCGAGTTTACAGTGACAGGGTGCATGTAACAGAGCGGTCCGTTAAAGACGCAATTGTGTGACGTGATAGTATATCCCAAAGCTCGCCTACTCTTCTACTACACACTCAAAAGTGTGTACTTTTTCTTCACCAAAAGAGTACATACTTTAAGGGCGTAGTATAAGTAGGCACATTGAGTGAGTTAATGCAGCAAGAGTTAATGAGTGAATCACTGAATCATTTATTCAACCAATTCGTTCAAAAAGCTGATTCATTCAATAAGTAAACACCATCCTTTGCTCAGAGCCGCAAAACAGTGCTGTGATCTTTGTTTGTAACTATATTCGTTAGCAAAATTTAGCAAAAACAAGCAATATTATGTTTTGTTATGTTAAGTCACTTATTGCTTTACTGAACTTGTATAAAATGATTATTAAATATGTTCATGCTGATATCTGCAGAAAAATGGTACTCTTTGTGTGATATAGATTAAGTTAACTATATTAAATTATATAAATATAAAAAGCATACAGAAGCATTTTTGCCATCTACAATATAGAATGCCTGGAATTTTGAGTTTTAATAGACTAATAAATCAACGTGTGTGCACTCTGTGTGTGATTTGGTGATATAGCCTACTTGATAATGTCAGATCGCACATCATTACAACAACACTTACCATATTATCGCAGACAATATACTGTTTATCGCACACCCCAGACTTGACTTGAGTGGAAAATGAATCATCGCCAGTTGTGCGCACACAGATGAACATGAGCATGAGTCTAACTTGCAAATGCCAAACCACTGATTCGTCAAACCTGCTTTTCTGCAGTCCATGTTCTTCTGACTTCTGACTATTTTGTAGTAAGTAACGAATATACTTCGGGGAAATGTATCGGAGTAAAAGTATACATTTTAATTAGGAAATGTAGTGGAGTAAAAGTAAAAATAGGCTGAAATATAAAAACTCAAGTAAAGTACAGATACTCCCAAAATATACTTAAGTACTGTAACGAAGTATTATTACTACGGATCAATATATTTCATCATCGTACAGTCTGCATGCATGTCGTACCCAAGTTTATTAGACCCATGTCGCACAGTGTGAGTTGCAATGATCTTATAGCATTTTAAAAATCATGCAGTGTGTAGAAGGCTTTAGAAGGCAGCCACTGAACAAGGTCACTGAATTTAAATATCTCGGTTCGCTCATCTGGAGCGACGGTGACTCACAAGGGAGTTATTTTATGTCGTAGAATAAAGCGTGAAAATATCTTGAGCTTGTGTAAACCACAGACTTTAACCAAAAACCCATAGTGCTAAAATGCGAACCCATTTCTGGGTTTTGGCCTACAACAATACATCATCCCTGTAGCTCTATATTACATGCACAAATATGACATTACCCAGATAATCAATTCGAGACAAGTGAATGTCAGTGGAAATTACAGTTCATGGACCATATGAAGTGTTGCTTCGGCAGCCGATGAGTCAGTCTCTACATCCTATCCAGTGAACAATACACAGCTACAAGTTTAAAAGACCCTTCAGTGGCTTGCTGCTGCCCACCACAGTGTGGAGGAAGGGCTCTTAATACTCAACAATACTGCGCTGACTGGTTGGGAGAACGTGTGACTAAGGGGTCAATGGTTAGCTAGTGTGGGCTACATCTGTGCAGACAGATTCCGTCTTCAACCCTAAACAATCTGTTCGACCATTCAGCTCGGCATCTCTTGTCTGTTTGGACCGTAATACGTAAATGTGGCGCAAACATTCATGCATGTGCTGCACAGCTGATGCTCTCTCTAGTTAGGAAACCTCGTCATGTCCTCTTTCCAGCGTTCCTCCTGTACCGTATCTGTTTATCTCTGTCTTTCTGAATGAGGACTTTGGCTCTGTTTCTCAAGTGCAGGCTCAAGAGGCGACATCAAAGCCGCAGTGGGTGTGCAGCTGGGATGAAAGGCTTGGTCCTCACCAGTGAAAGAGACGAGAAAGCTTGGCCAGTGGCATCACTGCCATGTCGCATTTTGTTATGCAGCATGCTGCCAATATTCTGATGTGCACTGAGATGTGATTATATGGACTGATGTATCTTTTAAGAGAATAAATCTTCTCATAATCTGAAAAAGCTCATTTTGTCCAGTACGTTTGGTCTTGGTCTTGTTCAGTCACTACAGATAAATTGTATGGTCTGTGCTGACTGGTGAATATGATCTGCTCTGAATCATCCTTTTCTTGACATGGACTCAACCTACTCATGGCCTGGCCTGGACTAGTCTTGAATTAGCTTTGCTCCACTACAACACTGTTATCAAGTGATGGTTGGAGTGCTACAACATTGTGCATCATTGAGCTGTCTGTCCAATATGTGTGACTCTGGTTAGTATGGTCATGTGGTGTATTCAAGCCCTCCTGGGAAGTTTTACAAGTATTTTTTTACGAGTATTTTATGAGAAGTATCCATGAGTTTGGAAGTCATTTTGGTCGGAGCAAGATGGTGATGTACCTTTTCTACCAAAAATTAAGCTTAAAATAATGAATAATGAATAAAGAATGTGCATCAGGAGTGTTTTTGCTTCACAGTAACTTCTTTTACATTAGTACAAACTGCACTTTTTAAAAGCATGTTATCCTTAAATGTGTTAAGAAACATAGTCATGAAAGTGTACTTGTGAAAGCGGTGTTTTAAGTACATTTTAACTCTACAGTTGCACAACAAGGTGGTAATGCTAAGTTATGTAATGTAAGTTATGAGTTATGTAATCAGATTACTTTTTCAAGTAACTAGTAAAATAGTGCATACCTTTTAAATTTACAATGAAATATCTGAGTTACAAATAAGTAATTTAAGTCACATTTATTCACTGTCTCCTATCCACATGTTAAGAGAGTTTTATTTTTTTATAAAAAATAAATAAGAAAGCCCAGCTCAGGTGACAAAAAGTAATGGAAAAGTAATGCATTACTTTCCATAAAAAGTAACAAAGTAATGCAATTAGTTACTTTTTATGGTGTAATGCAATATTGTAATGCATTACTTCAAAAAAAAAAAAAAAAACTTCCCCAAACCATGGTTAGGTTACATAAACTTCACATAATTTTCTGACTAGTAGCTACATACACTGATTATATCGCAGTATCCAGTACTCTAACATACCACATCATTTGGGAAAGTGTGCATCAGTTAAGTAAGCCACTATGTAAACCTGTATTATGCTGTTGATATGTTACTGGGCTGGTGTGATTAGCTCCAAATCCAAGGATAAACGTTCACCACCTGTCTGTGTCCAAACAAAGAGCTTTTAACACATTTCAATCACTACTCCCACATTAGCCTTCCAGGGTGAGGGAGTTTCCATATGCTAATGGAAAGTGATGCAGGTTAGAAATAATAATATCACAAACCTCAGAGATAAACACAACCGAATAAATGTTTATTGCGGCGGATACGGTTGCATTTTCACCGCTACAGAACTACAAACTGAGCATTCATTCAGAACTGCTTATACTAACAGCTGCTTTCTCACATACCCCTAACTAACGAAACTGGCACTCAACAGCTGTAAGGATCTTTGTGATAGATTGGGCCCGTCTCAGCTAATTGTATTGATCCCCCTCTAATGAAGCCATTACAAACACTCTGCTACAACTTGAAGTAATGAAGGCTCATCCTTCATCCAGTCATCCAGGATGAATCGCAATCTAGTGCATAGTACTCAATGCAACTAAAGGTCAGTAAAATCACAGCTGTAATTAATAGCGCGTGCTGCTGGGCAAATGCAGAGGACACTGAAGGCAAAAAGACTGGGTGAATATCTTGCTTTTAATGTCTAAATACTAAAACGAGCTCATCATGCTGGACATTTCAGGATGTGCAACCCAAAGCATCCATCAGTCATGGGGAAGCCCGTGCAGCAGCGTCACAGCAGCATCAGCACCAGCACCGAACACAGCTAGGATGAACAACACAGTCTATACATGCCACTGATGCATTTCATCAACAACTAACATCAGTGGGCAATGCATCAGTGTTTCTCGATAATCCCTCCGCCATGGTCAAATCAGATATCTCTGCGGTAAAGAGACACGGTTTTGCTGCACATGGCATCTGTATCACTCACCTGTGCTGTTCGTATAAACGACACGAGTGTCGGTGAGGATGCTCGGGTCACTGTGAGATCTCCCTCGCTGCACAACGCAATCTTCTGATCCATCCGATGTGGCCATGGAGATGAGAGCAGACGGTAGAACACAGAGAAGCCGAGCTGCGTGTGTGGATGTGAGCAGCGAGCGTGCTGCGGCGGTGGATGTGATTCAGTTTGACAGCAGCAGCAGCAGCAGCAGCGCTGGAGGAGGAGAGCAGTGCGCTGATGATGACTGAGGCGCATCTGGGGGTTTCACTTGCATTTATTAGCATTGTTATTAATTTGATGACATGAGTGGTTTTAATGTGTGGACGAACATCAAGTCGTGTTTGTGTGTTTTTGCGTCGTCATATGTCATGCAATCAGCGTTATCTGAAACAGATTGAAGAGAAGAGTGTTACAGAGATTTGTCAGAGGAATTAAAGAATAGTTAGCCTGTGTCGCCCTCTTGTGTGTTCTTTATAATAGTGGAGGAGGAGCCACACAGACGTCTTTCACCAGCCTTTTTTGAGTGACAGAATCCATCAGATCAGACTGACTCAGAAATGTTTGGGCAGATTAAAAATCAGAGATTTTTACATTTTCTCCTCCCACCAAAACACGACACACAAAGGCAAAATATCCTGGGAAAGAGAGATTCATATATATGGGCTTACATTTCTGCCACAATTCTGCGCACGAAAGATCATATTTTGAGTGCACGCGCGCGATCTGAGTTTTGTGGAGAAAATGTTCGTTTCGCAAAGAAAAAAGTCTTTCGAGCGCACGGAAATCAATTTTGCATTTAAAATACGTTTTTGGATGTGTGCAGACCTTCTCTTCTGTGCGTGCAACGTTCCACTAGCTTGCTCACCTGATGCCCCCCTCAGTGCTCTCTAAATGCCAACAGCTCAGGTGCTCAACACAACCCAGCGTTACAATGTGCCATAATTCCAGCCAATCAGAGACGAGGCTGCTAAATTCTGATTGGCTGCCTTGACAACCAATCACAACATTTCTTGCATTACCTCGACAGCAGAAGAGGAAAAGTACAGTGCACGCATAATTATTATGCAAGTTGATATTCTGATTTTATTGTTTTCCAAGCGCATTTTACCAATAATTATAACTACTATTAATCTTGTATTTAATCCCTTATAATCTATATATTATTGTTCATGACGGCTGGAAGTGAAAAACGCCTTATATTCAGGTGTGCATAATTATTAAGCAGGTTATCTTCTACAGATAAAATCTCGAGATGGACTAAAAATGAACTCCCGAAACTTACTGCCAGAAAGAGGACAAATACAGTGCATGCATAATTATTATGCAAGTTGATATTCTGATTTTATTGTTTTCCAAGCACATTTTACCAATAATTTTAACTACTATTAATCTTGTATTTAATCCCTTATAATCTATATATTATTGTTCATGACGGCTGGAAGTGAAAAACGCCTTATATTCAGGTGTGCATAATTATTAAGCAGGTTGTCTTCTACAGATAAAATCTCGAGATGGACTAAAAATGAACTCCCGAAACTTACTGCCAGATTCCGGAAGATAAATTCTTCAGTGGTACAAGAGGATGTGGTGCTGGTCCTTCTCAACTTATCTGTCTATAAAGCATATATATATATATATATATAGATCAGTTTTCAAGCATTTTACTACACTTCAGTATGTGATTCTTATTAAGTAGGGGTCATTTTTTAGGATTCTATACTTCACCTAAGTCTCTGAGAACCTTGACACCTTGCACTTGCACTCACTTCCGCGAGCATCAGGTGAGCAAGCTAGTGAAACGTTGCACGCGCAAAAGAGAAGGTCTGCACACATCCAAAAAACGTATTTTAAATGCAACATTGATTTCCGTGCGCCCGGAAGACTTTTTTCTTTGCGAAACGAACATTTTCTCCACAAAACTCAGATCGCGCGCGTGCACTCAAAATATGATCTTTCGTGCGCAGAATTGTGGCAGAAATGTAAGCCCATACATCTAGGCCTATTCATCACATTCTTTTTTTTTTTAAGCTAATTTTTCCCATTAAGTTATAAAAATATTTCCGATTGCTGAACATTCAAAACGTCCAGTTTTTAGTGTTTTAAAAAATATATGTCTTGGTCAAGCAAATGTTATAGGCCTAGAAAACTGTGACGTTCCATTCTATAATTTTGCAAACATTTTTGAATGTTCTCTAAAACTAGTTCTGAAACTAGTAGTATCCTTAAAAAAACCGTTAGATGTCCAAGCAAGCAAACAAACAATAAATAAATAACCCTTCCACGAACGATCTAGGCTATAATAATGCTTTTGTGAACGATAGGTAGCCTATCTTTGAACAAATGTTCTATTAATGTTACTGGAACGTTTGTTCATAACTTTAAAAGAACCTTTACAGAATATTATGTAAAACAAATATTGTATAAACATATATATATTTTAAACATATAGCTACATTACACACTATTGAGCTAGTTCTACATATGATAAAGATTCAGAAGATTTAAGGACACAGTATATTGTAAAATTACAAAGGTCATCTTTTTTCCACATGCATTTGACCAACAGATGTCCTCAGCCTGCGACCACTAGTTCGAATCAGTGAATCGTGGTTCAATTGATTCGATGATTCAGAAGGATTCATTTCTCCCATTACTAATGCAATTTGTTCCATTTATATGCACCAATATAGAAATACGTAGCATTATTTACCTAAATATTTCACTGCAGCGTTTAAAGAATGTAACACGCCACCTGAACCTTTCTGCGCGAATGAATCGTTTAGGGGTTTTGAATCGCTTCGGAGTCGGAAGAGGTCCGCCCTCCGCACAGATCCAGATACAGTAAAGATGGCTGAACGCGGTAGTGATAGTGTAGCGAACCATGTGTCTGACAGCGAAGCTGACCTCAGAAGTGTTCTGGTTACTAGTGTTTTGAATTTAGACAAGCTCGACACCGACCTGTACAGGTAAACAAATCCAAATATAAGGACTATATTAGAGTTACTGTATTAGCACCACAATACAACAGGAATCTGAATGAGTCATTTCGCTTAGTATTGAAAGCCTTTCCACACACACTAACAAAAAGTGCCATGCTTTTCTGTCTCACAGAGGGACACATCACTGGGTTCCTCGCACTAAACGCCTGTTCGGGGGCCAGATTGTTGGACAGGCCCTTGTAGCTGCAGCTGAATCTGTCAGTGAGCATCTCTTTGCCCATTCACTGCACTGCTACTTTGTGAGAGCAGGTACATTCTCTAAATAGGCTTATGCATATGGAAAGTATGCTTTTTCCTTTTTTTGAGAAGGGTATTCCTGCACATGCATACAAAACAATAAATGAAATATAATAATACAAAAATATAGGGTCCTAGAAACCTTCGGTTGTGCAGGGACATACGATTGGGCTTGTTTTCTCAAGCATTGTGTGTTCCAGGGGACCCAAAGGTGCCTGTGCTGTACCAGGTGGAAAGGACTCGGGATGGCCGCAGTTTCTGTGTGCGATCTGTCAAAGCTATTCAGCACGGACAGCCCATACTGATCTGTCAGGCGTCGTTTCACATGCAGCAGCCGAGTCCACTGGAGCATCAGTTCAGCATGCCCTCGGTCCCTCCGCCGGACACACTGCTCACCGTGGAGGAGCTCATTCAGCGCTACCTCAGGTCTCAGCCAAAACAGCGTGTTTGCCATGGCGCATCGTTTCAAATGGTGCGCTTTTACGCTTGATTTTCTTTTTGTTTTACAGCGATCCAAACCTGGCAGACAACACACGACAGGGTCTGAATAAAATACTTGCTGATGAAGTTCCTATAGAGATCAAGCCGGTCAACCCACCTGATTTTTACAGGCGTGTTGCCATGGAACCAAAGAAATTATTCTGGGTGCGAGCAAGAGGGCATATAGGTATAACGAGCATGTCATCCAGCCACTTCTTTACAGTAAAAAAACACTTATAATTAAGGGTGGAAACTTCCCACAAATCCCTGGAATATTCCAAAAACAATCCTGGGAAGTTTCCAGAATTTCTGGAATGTTTCTGAAATGTAATGGAAATTTTCCACCTTTTTTTGCAACCATGCTTATATTGATGCCATGTGCGATATAATGAATGTGCTGTGAGAGGTTCAAATTAAAGTTGCGAGATTGTTTTTCTTTTCAAATGGATGAACCTCAAATCATTTTGTCATCGTTCAGGGTTCCCGCAGTCTAGGAAAAAAATGAAAATACCAGGGATTCCCTTGTGAGAAAGAAGTACACTTCCGCACACTTTTTATTGGAAATAATACACTTTAAAAGAATATACTTAAGTGCAAGCCGAATGTAATGTTTTCGGGAACTTAGTTGCATTTGAATTAGAATTAAATGAGAACGTATCATAGTTAACATTGATATCAAATGCAGTTAGTTACAATTTAGAGTGCTTTTTCACTTTAGAAGGATTTCATTTATTAAAAGCTTTTATGGTAAACTAAAATATATTTGAATGTAATTCCTATTAAAAATGGGTATGCCATTTATTTAAATATATTTATAATTACATATTAGATGTGATGATTTTCAAATATACACATATATTAAATTATTTAAAAGTTCCCTACAATTGCACATTCAATACAGTTAAGCATGCTTCTGCTTTTTCATGAGGGTTTTTAAACTGCATGCCAAAGACAGAAGTGGAATTGAATTAAATCTTTACAGACATCTTGACAAATCCTTTTGTGAATAAACATTTGTTTTGGCTACATTTTGCTCTGAAATATTGGGAGTGCAATCTTTAAAATGATAATTTCTCTTATATAATTACCTTATCTAAAAATCTCACTCATGTATTACCTGGTGTAAAATCATTATTGTAAGAACAAAATCCTGATCGCCCTCGTGTGTTCATTTTAGATAATGAGCAGCTGACTCTATGTTACTTATTTAACATTTCATCATTTTTGCATTGTGTCGTGTCTCAGGACCTGGTGATATGAAACTGCACTGTTGCGTGGCAGCGTACGTATCGGACTACTCTTTCCTGGGCACGGCCCTGTTACCTCACCCGAATCACAGGGCCCAGTTTTCCGCCTCGCTGGATCATGCCATGTGGTTTCACAGCACATTCAGAGCAGACGAGTGGATGCTGTATGAATGCGAGAGCCCGTGGTCAGGTCAGCAGTTTATGCAAGTTTATGGAGTTCTTTAGGAACGAACATGTGCCTGATGACGTGTCTAGGATGGTCAGCAGTTCAGTATGTGATAAAACGAATAACTTGGGATCTGTGAATGTTTTAATGTACCTTTATTTCCTATCAGGAGGGAGCAGAGGCTTCGTCCAGGGCCGCTTGTGGAGGCAGGATGGCGTTCTCGCAGCTTCCTGCGCACAAGAGGGAGTGATACGAGGGAAGACTGTTTCTCAGAGTAAATTATAGAGGATTCAAAATATATTACTAAATAGTATCAGATTCTTGAGATGCCTTACGATTAGTGCTGTCAAATTATTAATCGCATCCAAAATAGTAGTTTTGCTTAAGCTGCGTCTGAAAGCCTATTTATTAAGCATATATAAATACACACACATGCATTTAAGAAAAATATATTGTTTATATATTAAATATATTTATATATAATATAAATGATACGAATATAAATCCATACATATATATATATATATATATACTGTATGTGTATTTATATATACATAAATATACTATTTAAACTACATCAAATTTATTTTGGATGGGATTAATTGGGATTAATCGGTTGACAGCACTACTTACAATAGTTTTTTTGTTTATTTGTCATAATTATTACAACGCACAATCAATGTCAAGATTGCATTTGGTCTGCAGTGCTATAGAATATGGCAGTATATGAAATAACAACACTTTATGATTTTCCTTTTTGTCCCT